AGTCCTTGGGTAGGCCAGATTTGATCTCCATTACTCCTAGGAAAAGAAAAACAGCAATAAAAATAAAACATTGGGACTGGGGAGATGGCTCGATGGGGAGCTTGAGGACCCGAGTTCAGAACCCTAACCCATGAAAAAGTTAAGTGTGGAGTCCTTTGCCTTTAACCCCAGTGCTGGGGCAGGTGGAGACAGGAGGTTGAGGAGGCTCATGGCCAACCAATCCAGCAAAAAGACTCCAGGTTCTGTCAGAGACCCCCATCTCAAACACTAAGAAAGAGGGGAAGATACTTCTGGCCTTACCAGGCAGGCAGAGGAGAGCTCACACCAAGCAGACTAAGTAAATGCCTTGAAAAATCCCTTAGACCTTAGGAATCTGTCGGTTAGTTTTTAGTTTATTTTTCCTTCAGATAGGGTTTCATGTAGCCCAGGCTATCCTGGAACTCTTGGTCTCCCTGCCTCAACCTCCTCAGTGCTGATCTTACAAGCATCTACCAACACATCTACCACAAATCAGCAAGTTGGGTTTTGTTTTGGTTTTGTTTTTTGTTTTTTGTTTTTTTGTTTTTTTTGAGACAGGGTTTCTCTGTGGCTTTGGAGGCTGTCCTGAAACTAGCTCTTGTAGACCAGGCTGGTCTCAAACTCACAGAGATTCATCTGCCTCTGCCTCCCAAGTGCTGGGATTAAAGGCATGCCCGACCAACGCCCGGCCCAGCAAGTTGTAATGGACCACAGAATGACAGTTTGAGCCATTAGTGTTGGCTATTTTGACTGAAATCTCCCTGCTGTTGAGCAAGCCCTCTGTGCCTCTGAGTGACCTAATGCCACCAATTTCAGATCTTATGGCTATGACTGTAGTAAACCCCACCAGACGAACAACAAGCCATCTAGCTAGCACCCATTAACATACTTAATATTTTTTTAAAAAATCATTGCCAGTCTTCCTTTCTAGAGAGACTCCAGATCCTCAGCTCCCACAGGGCAACTTACAACCATCTTGTAACTCCAGTCCTGGGGTGGGTGGGGGGATTTGATACCCTCTTCTAGCCTCTTTGGGCATTGCCTGCAAGTGTGCACAGCCTTATATGCAGGCAAAAACACTCATACAATTAGAAAAGGGAGGAAATGGATTAGCATAAAGCTAATCTCCCTGTGGTTCTTTTTTATTTTGTCTATACATTTATAAACATGCTATACTGAATAGCCGTTTCTTCCTGAGGCCCAGTGGAAGCATGCCCCTTGCTTTGTAACGGTTTATACTTGGAGGTCTTTCATACAACTGCAATTTTCAAGTGGGTTTGTTTACACAGGGAGCCAGCGATTCACTTCATCAGTGCTGAAAAAACATTAGCGTTGTCAATATGCTGGGCGTGGCTTGCCAACAGCGCCAGGACACTACCAAAGACACCCACATCTTGTAGGTGACCGGTAGGGATAATCGTAATGCACGCCTTTAATCCCAGCCTTTGAAGGCAGAGGCAGGTGGGTCTTTTAGTTCGAGGCCAGCCTGGTCTACAGAGGGAGTTCCAGGACAGCCAGAGCTACACAGAGAAACCCTGTTTTGAAAGCAACAAAAGTTGTCAATGAACACTCTTGTGTAGAAATGCCCTTTTGTAGGCTAGGATGGAAACTGCCGCATCAACAGGCAGTGAGCATCTAAAATATGACACCAGTAGTATTCCTAAGAGGCGTGTTAATTTACAGGTGCTCCAAGAGCTCTATACATTCCCATCTTTATCAGCACAACCTGCTAGCAGACGTCTGGATCTTCGCCAATCTGATACGCTATCTTCTTGTAATCTATCTATAATCTCTCTACCTCCATTGTTGAAATCATTTTGTATGCTGCTACCAAATTGATCTTCTTAAAGTATGCCACTCTTGGTCTAAAGCTTTCCTAGGTTCCTGCTGTCTTGGCACACACTAGGCAAATGCTCTATCCCTGAGCTACTCTGCTGATCAGATGTTTATTTGCTTTTAAGACAAGGTCTGTCTGTGCAGCCCTGGCTGAACTCACAGAGATCTGCTTGCCTCTGTCTCTAGGGTGCTGAGAGCAAAGGCGGGGGCACCACGCCCAGCAGAATCATTATATGCCGAGGCAGAGTGAACAAGAAAGGCAAAGGAGAGAGTCGGCCTCTGAGGTCAAGTTGTTGGGCTCCCAGTAGCTACATTTAAAAAACAAACACAACTCTTTGAGACAGAATCTCATGTAGCCCAGGCTGGTCTCAAACTTGGCTGTGTAGTCAAGGATAATGTTGAACTCCTAATCCCCCTGCCTTTACATTCCTTAGTGCTGAGATTACAATCACGTGCCACATGCCTGGTTGATGCAATCCTGAGAATCGCGCCAGGATTTTCTGCGTGCTGTGTAAGCCTTCTGCCCACGGAGACATATATCTAGCCCATTTATTTGAGTTTTATTTTCCTAGAGATAATTCTCCCATGTGGGCTGGAGAGATGGCTCAGAGGTTGAGAGCACTGACTATGCTTCTAGAGGACCCAAGTTCAAGTCCCAGTGGCCACTTGACGGTTCAGACTATAACTCCCAAGAGCTGACACCCTCACACAGACATACATGCAGGCAAGATACCAATGCACATAAAATAAAAATAAATAAAGTTTTAAAAAGCCTCACTGTGTAGTCCAGGCTGGCTTCAAACTCCTGAACCCTCTGTCTGACCCTTCAGAGTGGTGTAAGTTTGGCAGGCTTGGTTTTGGGGGGGGGGGAGAAACCAACTTGAAGAACGTGGACAGTGCAGGCCAACTCAGTCAACATTTCCTGGACTCCCTGGGCCTCTGAGTTTAGCAAAATCGCTGTTTCCTTGGAAAGATTTAAGAAAGGATGAGACATCATGGATACGCCCCAAAGAGACCAAAGAACGAGGGCTCCGGGGTGTGGACAGAAGAGACAGCTCTTGTCTCCAAGGATCACAGAGTTAGGTGTCCTCGAATGCTGTGTTCCCATGAGGCAGCGATTTCGTGAGCTTTTTATACTAACAGAACAAAGAAAGTCAAATGCCAGTGACAACAGGGACGACTCTGCTATGGCCTGGGCTGCTGACTGTCACAGATACAGCCTTTGGTGGAACCAGGGATCTGTCTGTACATTCCAAAGGGTTTAACCTAACGGTCACAAAAGGTCAGGAACAGAGGAGGGCAGCAAGTGGCCCTTAAGAGGACTAATGATGTCCCGAGATAATGTGGCTCGGGGACCGCAGTGCCCCGACCTCCCCACATCACTGACTGTGACTCCATTGGTCTCTGCAGACACAGCTTCGTTCCAAGGACTCCAGTAGAGGAAACTCCCAGCATTGGCTGTGATGAAGGAGAGGCAGGTGGAAGACACTGCCCCTTCCTAACTTGGGTTACTGAAATCCCTGGGGGAAAGGGCATCCCTTCATGCCCTACCATAATGGAAATTTCCAAGAGAGAGCAAAGGACTGTTAGCTGACCAGATTATTGACTGACTCAGCTTCCAAAGAACTGGGAGTTACACAGATGGCTCACGGACAGATAAGAGGGCCATGGATAGGTAATGGAGATGGCAAACTTCCCAATTTTCTCCTGCTAACAGGGTCCCCCTTCCAACTAACTGGTCTAGTCAGGCCAGATATGTTAAAGGCTAGTCTTGAACACCTCTACCTGAAACTATGGGCCTGTCAGCTCCTGTTTCATTTCCTTCCTTCCTTCCTTTGGTTTTTAGAGACAGGGTTTTCTGTGTAGCTTTGGAGGCTGTCCTGGAACTCACTCTGTAGACCAGGCTGGCCTCAAACTCACAGAGATTCACCTGCTTCGGCCTCCCAAGTGCTGGGAATTAAAGGGGTGCACCACCACTGTCCGGCTACCTATTTCTTTGTTTAAGATGATCAACCCAAAATGAGGGGAAGGGGACACACCCCAGGCCAGCAAAAACACTTGAATTCCTATCCCTCAAGGGGAAGGTGAATTTCAGTGTCTCCCCTCTCCCCCCTGCTCTGTGTAGGGTCTTCTGTAAGCATTGCTGTGTGTGTATGTGTATGTGAGTGTGCATGTGTGTGAGTGTGCATGTATGCATGTGTGTGCTCATGAGTATGTATGTGTATATGTGTGTGCATGTGTGTGCTTGTACTGGTAAGTGTGCATGCATGTGTACATGAGTATGCATGTGTGTGTGCTGTCATCTCTTGTAATGCTACCTGTTGTGTAAGAGATTTTTTTCAGCCTTTTAATTCTGTTTGTGGTTTTCCGAGACTGGGTCTCTCTATGTAACCCTGGCTGTCCTGGAACTCACCCTATAGACCAGGCTGGCCTCCAACTGAGAGATCCACCTGCCTCTGCCTTCCAAGTGCTGGGATCAAAGATGTGCACCACCATGCCCGGCTTCAGCCTTTTGGTTGTTAAATTGGTGGAGAAAGTGAACCCGGTCAAGCCCCATGGATGGTACACTGCCTCACTGCTCGTGAGACTGAGCTGTGTCTGCTACAGTGGAAGCTGGCTTCAGAATGTGCCTTTGTTGGGGTCAGCTGACCTGGTACTCACCGTGTAGACAGGGCTGACCTGGAGCCCATGTCTATGCCCCTGCCTCTGCCTTGGAGTCCTGACAGCACCGGCATGAGGCTTCTCACCCAAACCAAGAATCTACTCTTTCCTGGCTCCTTCCTGAGGAATTCATCCATTCCCCTTGTTTCTCCTCCTCTCTGTCCTCCCCCTCCTCCTCTATCTCCTTCTAGCTCTTTCCCCCACCCCCACGTCCCCAGTTAGTTAACTTTATCTTAGAGCAGAGTTTCTTGACCTTTTTCCCCATGCCACCCTTAGGGAGCCTTTAATATCATCTATTTATTTTGAGTCAGGATCTCGTGTAGCTCAAGCTGCCTTTGACACCCCCCCCCCATGTCACCTTTTACTGAGAAAGCATGCCACAGAAAGTGAAATTCTCCGTTGCTCGTGGTCTCTGCCTTCCTGGGGCTACTTGGTGAGGGCGCCTTTTCCTGTTGCAGTCGGGAGGTAGCGAGAAGCAACCCGCAATGCACCAAGCAGCTCGCATAACAGAGAGCTATCTGGCCCAAGTGAAAAGTCAGTTCATGCACAAAGAAACGTGCAATTAGACTGGCGGCCATCTTCCCTTTACTAATACCCCAGACTAGAAAACCCTGGAACAGAAAGGGTAAGGCCTCCCATGGGGAGTCAACAAAGCCTGGCACATTCAGGGGGAGGTGGGGGGCCGGGAAGGAAGGGAGGAATGGAGAACTGTGATTAGTATGTAAAAATTAATAAAATAAAATAAAAAAAGCCTAGAACAGCTGTCTCAAAATGCTGAGAGACAAACACTGCCAAACAAACGTTATATACTGTGTGAAAATAAAATGTCAGGAGGGCACGGTGGCACAGCCATTAATCCCAGAACTCAGGAGGCAGAGGCAGGCAGATCTCTAAAAGTCTGAGGCCAACCTGGTCCACATAGTGCGTTCCAGGTCAGACAGAGATACACAGTGAGTCTTGGTCTCAAAAGCAAAACTAAACTAAATTTCAAGCTAAAGGATGATGCGCAGATATGTTCAGAGACAAATACAACCATAACAGCTGTCTGATGTGGTGACACCTGTGAGTCAGAGGCAGGCAGATCTCTGTGAGTAGGAGGTCAGCCCCATCTACACAGTGAGTTCAAGGCCAGCCAGGCTGAGCCGTTTGGCCAGTTCCATTTTCTTATGCTTTAAATGTAACATAGTTAGCATTTACTGAGGTTTAATCGTCGCGTGATATCCTGATGAAAGTGAAATGTTTTCCTCTCGTGGGCCCATTTCTAGTTTCCTTTTGCCTTCCTTGGCAATTTGACCTCCTCAAGGATGCCAGCCTCGCAGAGGTGAGTGGCCTGAGCGCCCCTTTCTTTCCACCCTTTGAAACCATTCTCTTTATGGCCACGAGGGGGCGCTCGTAGCCGCGGCACCGGCTCCGCGCGGTCCCCGCACGGTTGGCTGGCACGCGGCTCTCCCACTGTCCTTGCGGGGCTATTGTCACATGCCTACTTCTGACTTCAACCCAGCGCTTCCCTCCTGTTTTCTCTCATTCACACACGTGCTCTAGGGGCTTCCCACAGCCACCTAAATCCTGTTTCTGGACAGCTTCCAGATGCTTGCTGAGGGAGGCAGAGTCTCGCTTGGGGAAAAGTCTGCGCTGAGGCTTAGCAACTCCAGCAAGCCAAGTCCGTTCTTTCCAACGTCTCTGGTGGCGAAAAGTTGAGAAGTTCTCAAATTCCAGAGCTGTGAAGAACCAAGGCAGGAGTTGTCAAAAGAAAATCAGAGACCCTGGGTAACGTAAAACAACAAAAAATTTTGCCCAAACTGTATGACAATAACAACACAGGATGTTCCTGTGTACCCCAGCCCCCGGCCCCGAGCCGGCCTCGGGAGATGCCCGGCTGAGCCCAAGCTTTGCTCCAGCAGAGGAACCAGTGCTGTTTTCCAAGGTGACTTTGTTGGAGGAAAAAAAAACCATCTTTGTTCCGTGGCTTCGTTCTTATACCTCTTGTGTGGATTTTGGTTTGATTTTACTTAGTGATCTGGAAACAAAGATATTGGAGACGGGGTCTGGCTAGGTCTGGTCTCAAACTCAACAATCCTCGGTAGTACTGGGATTACAGACGCGCACCGCTCGGGCTACCCGGAAATTAACACACACACAAACAAACAAAACGCTGGTGTGTGTGCATGCGCGCGCGTGCATCTATTGGCGCCACAGCGTGTGAGCAGAAGTCAGAGGATAACTTGTAGGAGTTGGCTCTCTTCTTCTAGCATGAGACTCCTGGGGATCCAACTCAGGTTGTTAGGAATGACAGCAAGCACCTTTATCTCATTGCCCTTGTCTTGTCTTTGATCCTGGAGGGCGTTTGCAGACAGGGTTTCTCTGTGTAGCCCTGGCTGTGTTGGAGAACTCGCTCTGTGGGCCAAGCTAGCTTCAACCTCAGAGATCGGCCTGCCTCTGCCTCCTGAGGGCTGGAGCTAAAGGCCCGCACCACTAATGCAGTAGAAATGATTTTTCTAAGTGGCCTGTAAGTAAAAGATGATATTGATTAGCTGAAGGTGTCAGAGTTGTGGAAAACCCTGGACAAGTCACAGGCCATGGGAAACGGGGTGTAAATTGGTGTTGGGGACTGCTAGAACCTTGAACAAAATGGAGTCTGTCAGCCATTTCTTGGCCTTCTGCCTACGTGACTGCGAGCACACATGCCCTTGAGACAAAGGAAAAGTTTAACCATAAAAGTTAAATTTACACAGGGCAGCCCACCCACCTAGCCAGGGGGAAGTAACCCTTATAGAGCAATTGTCTTTGTTAACAAAAGGTTAAAGTGTTCCTTTGAATACTTCCTACCCCTCCCTAATTCCTGCACCTGACTTACACTGACAAGCATTTGTGGAATGCGACTGATGGAAAATTACAGCTTTGTCTCTACCTATTTGGTGTATATTTGAGTTGAGACTTGATTGGCATGCTTGTAACGCCCCCTGAGATTCTTTTCCTATAAGAACCATCTCACCCCAAAAATAAATGCTCTTGATCAGCAAAAGTTGTCTTGAGCCTGTTTCCTTTAACCTCTTGAAGTTTACTTTTAAGATCGGATCTGCTCGTGAAGACCCACCAAATTAGTAGCGACCCTCATCACCTCATCCCCGGGGGTTGCAACTAATTGGTTTAACACTGATAGTAAAACACAACTTTGAGGGACAGTTTGGTTTCATTATAATTGTTTATTTATTATTTTATGTGTGTGTTTTGTCCACATGTATATTTGTGCACCATGTGCATGCCTGGCACCAGAGGAGACCAGAAGAGGGCATGCATCAAATGCCCATCTCTCCTGCCCCACAACCCTTTTAAATTAAAAGCAAAATAGCATAAACAGGATCTGGAGAATGTTGCATTTGTGAATATGAGTATGTTAATAAAACCATTGAATAAAAAATTAATTCCAGGGCTGGAGAGACGTCTCAGTGGTTAATCACACTGGCTGTTCTTCCAGAGGACCCAGGTTTAATTCCCAGCACCCACATGGAAGCTACTGAGTGAGTTCCAGGACAGCTAGGGCTACACAGAGAAATTCTGTCTCAAAGAAAATAATAAATAAACATTCAAACAAACAAATAAATGTATTGTCCAGCAGCTGAGGCAGAAAGGGAGATAAATTCGAGGCTAGCCTGGGCTACATAGCAAAGTCCTGCCTCAAACAACACAATATAAAAGTATAACACAACCATATAAGATACTACTGATTGGGGGCTGGAGAGATGACTCAGAGGTTAGCAGCATTGACTGCTCTTCCAGTGGTCTTGAGTTCAATTCCCAGCAACTACATGGTGGCTCTATAATGAGGTCTGGTGCCTTCTTCTGGCCTGCAGGCATACATGCAGGCAGAACAGTGTATGCATAATAAAGTCTTAAAAATATTACTGATTGGGATAGTAACTGTATTTTCTTTCTTTTCCTCCCTCCCCCTTCTCCCTCCTCCTCTTTCTTCTTCTTGTGGCTTTTCAAGACAGGGCTTTCTCCATGTAACAAATTAAAGGTGCGCATTACCACAACCAGCCTAACAGTATTTTCTGTTCAAATTTTTGTAAAGCTAAAACTGCTTTTAAAATACCTACTAGTCTCGGGAGGCAGAGGCAGACGGATCTCTGTGAGTTCGAGGCCAGGCTGGACTGACAGCCTCCAAAACAGAGAAACCCTGTCTCGTAAAACCAAAAAAAAAAAAAAATACCTACTAGTTAGAAATAACATTAAGTAGTCAGGCAGTGGTAGCACACACCTATAATCCCAGCACTTGGGAGGCAGAGGCAGGATCTCTGTGAGTTTGAGGCCAGCCTGGTCTACAAAGCGAGTTCCAGAACAGCCAGGGCTGTTTGACTAAAAAAGAAAAAAATCCCTGTTTCCAAAAGCAAAACAAAAAAAGGAAGAAGAAAAGAAAGAAAGAAAGAAAGAAAGAAAGAAAGAAAGAAAGAAAGAACAAGCCTGGTCTACAAGAGCGAGTTCCAGGAGAGCCTCCAAAGCCACATAGAAACCCTGCCTTGAAAACCACCCTCCCCCCCCACCCAAAAAAAAAGAAAGAATGAATGAAAATAAGCTGGCTTGGTGGTGCTGAGACTGGAAGATTGCTTCAAATTTTTTTTTTTTTTTTTTTTTTTACGAGACAGGGTTTCTCTGTATTGTTTTGGAGGCTGTCGGCCCAGCCCGGCCTCGAACTCACAGAGATCCGCCTGCCTCTGCCTCCCGAGTGCTGGGGCTAAAGGTGTGTGCCACCACCGCCCGGCGATTTCTTCAATTTTGAGGCCAGCCTGGGCTACAAATCAGTATGAGGGCTATAGACAGCCAGTCTTAACAATGGAAATCAAGACAGAAAAACAAACCCCAAAACAGAAACAAAAAGCAACAAAACCTTACAGACTCACTAAAGCCAAAAACTCTTTCCTTCCCTTCCTCCCTCCCTCCTTCCTTTTTTTTTCTCTCTTCCAGACATGGTTTCTCTGTGTAGCCCTGGCTGTCCTGGAACTCACTCTGTAGACCAGGCTGGCCTTGAACTCACAGAGATCCTCCTGCCTCTGCCTCCCTAGTGCTAGAACTAAAAGCATGTGCCACCATCCCTGGGGTTAAGCTTCCCATTTCTATCTTTGTTTGTGACTGAGGTGACAGGTGTTAAATGCAGCTGCTATTTAAGTTGGCTACTTATTTGTTTGTTTGTGACAGGGGCTGCTGTAGCTCACACTGGCCTTGAACTTGCCACCTGTGGCATTGTATGTCTTTAATTCCAGCACTCAAGAGGCAGAAGAAATGGGATCTCTGCTTTTTTGTTTGTTTGCTTTTGTTTTTATTTTTTCGAGACAGAGTTCTTCTGTATTGCTTTGGAGCCTGTCCTGGGACTTGCTCTGTAGACCAGGCTGGCCTCAAACTCACAGAGATCTGCTTGCCTCTGCCTCCCGAGTGCTGGGACTAAAGGCGTGTGCCACCACCACCTGGCCAAGGTAGTCTGGTCTACACAGTGAGTTCCAGGCTAGCCGAGGCTACACAGTTAAACCCTGTCTAAAATAAGAACAAAAGGAAAAAGAAAAACAAACAAAAAAACCCCAGCAGCCGGGCGTTGGTGGCGCACGCCTTTAATCCCAGCACTCGGGAGGCAGAGGCAGGTGGATCTCTGTGAGTTCGAGGCCAGCCTGGTCTACAAAGTGAGTTCCAGGACAGCCTCCAAAGCCACAGAGAAACCCTGTCTCGAAAAACCAAAAAAAAAAAAAAAAAAACAGCCATCGAGATGAGGATGGTGTCTGGGATTACTCCTTTGTGATGCTAACACATGTGAGTGGATGCTTTGTCTGATATGGGTGTGTACCGCTCATGTGATTGGCCTGGGGAAGTCAGAAACAGGTGTCAGGTCCCTTGGAACTGGAGTTACAAATGGTTGTGAGCCACTGTGTGTGTGCTGGAAATCAAACCCAAGTTCTCTGTATGAGCAGTGTTCTTAATCACTGAGCCTCTCCAGCCCCGCTCTCTTGTCACAGACTCGCAGACCCAACATGTCACTGTGGCTTGCAGGAGCTGCCCAGCCTATTCTAGCCAGCTCCGTCCTTTGGGTTCTGGGCTTATGAGCTGAGCAAGTAAACCCCTGGAGGCTCCTCCCAGCCATGTTCTGAGTTGGCATTGCTTTCTCTAATGGGATGATGACCCTGGTTAAAGAGATTAACAACTGCATTGTGGATCCCACTTTTAATCCGCAGCGTTCGGGCTGTCCCTCCTTGGCTGGGAAGGTCGCTGCAGGAACGAAGGCCTAGACTGCTTCCTGCTACCATTACCCAGTTAGCGGGGATCTTAGGCTAGGGAGGCCCCAGGATGGGCAACTCCCTGCAGCGTGGGCCCCCAGAACTCTTCCTAAGGCCCTGAGTGGTCTAGGCCCTGACCTCACCGGGGCTAGGCGTGGAAGCTGAACTGTGGGAGGCTGCCTGGACCCCACTCGGTAAGCATGGCGCTACTCAAAGTCAAGTTTGACCAGAAGAAGCGGGTCAAGTTGGCCCAAGGGCTCTGGCTTATGAACTGGCTGTCCGTGTTGGCCGGCATCATCCTCTTCAGCTTGGGGCTGTTCCTGAAGATTGAACTCCGCAAGAGGAGCGAAGTGATGAATAATTCCGAGAGCCACTTCGTACCCAACTCCCTGATAGGGGTGGGGGTGCTGTCTTGTGTCTTCAACTCTCTGGCTGGCAAGATCTGCTATGACGCCCTCGACCCTGCCAAGTACGCCAGGTGGAAGCCCTGGCTGAAGCCGTACCTGGCCG